ATATAGTGACTTCTATAAGGATATAGAAAGTTATGATAAAAGATACAATTCATCATTTAGATTTAAAACTTCTACACAAATACTTCAAGTTATTAAAGAAGTTAGTCATCCCATACAAAAATCCAATTGTAGATCTATAAATATTAGTTTTGCAAGGATTGAAAGCTCCAATTATAAGTTTATAGGCATAATTATATTGAGTTTAGAAGCTCCAATTACAAGTTTGCATGTATTAATTTTATTGAGGTTGGAAGTTTCAATTACAAGTACGTATGTATTATTTATGCAAAAAAAAAAAAAACATTTCAATGCACGTGTGCACATGCATACACACAAATAATATATATCAAATTGAAAAATTCATTTTTTTAGGTTCTAATATATCTCTTTCAATTATTTTGTGTCTTAAAACCATCATGAACACATTCTTCTCACCAAAATAAACAATATGAATGCAAGATCGATCGTAAAAAAATTAAAATTGGAACCGATAGTGACTTTGTCTCTCTTTTCTCTACTTTAAGAATCAAATTGTGACCTAAATAAACTTGAAAACCAAAATAAAATTTTTGAAAACATTAAACATCAAAATATAACATTAGAAAAAACTTGAAAGCAAATAGTAAATGAATAGTATTTTTTTAGTGTATAAATAGTGTAATAAATAGTAAATAGTCCTAATCTTTTAGCCCCCCCCCCCCCCCCCCAAAAAAAATTTATGGTAAGCTAAGCAAAATTGACAAAACTTTATAAGCAATAAGCCAAGAGCACATTTCACGTCATGGGCTATAAAAAAGGTTAAGTGGGTTTTGAATTCATCAATTAGGAATTGGCATGGTGAAATAGATGATAAAGACCTCAACATAGATCGAATTCACATATAAGCATTCCACTAGAAATTTTATAATACATAAAAAGTAACTAGTTACATGTATAGTAGTTACTCCATAGACCCATCTTGAGGAGAGAGAAAGACATAAAAAGAAAAGAGAGAAACATGAGAGAAAAAAAAAAAAAGCGAACGTGAAAATCTTCTTATCACTTTTCTTGGGTTCGGATGTAATTCAATATGTCTATCTCTCCTTAAGGTGGATTCATAGATTAACTACTCGTACATACCACTAGTTACTCCTTCGTATTATAAAATTTATTGACATTCCACCCACGAACCCAAGCATATATCTCTATAACCTAAAGTAGGGGTCTAAAAATGATCTTGCCATCTACCAACAAGAAATGTATCATACTAGGAAAGAGTTATTTACATTGAATCAAAATCAAAATTCAATTTTTATTGTGTATGAATAACTAATTATAATTATTATTTAGTGATATTAGGTTCGAATTAATTAAATTTTAAAAGATAGTTTAGTAATTAGTAAAAAATTAAGATTGTTCTCTTATTAATTTAGTTTAAAAAGTGATGGATTTAGCATGTTATGATACTATAATAAATTTTAAAATACTCAAATAATAACTAATGTAAATATACAATAATTACTCTATGGGCTGACTTTTGATGAGGGGAAATATATATATATATATATATATGGATCCATTAAAAACCATAAAAAGATTTTCATCTTAAGTCAATTTTTTTTAAAAAAAATTTCTTTCCTATTTTCGTGTCTATTTCTTTCTTATAGAGTAACTTACATTAATTACTTTATAAATAATATAAAATTCTTTGTGCTTTGGCTCATAAATTTATAAATTTAGTTTTCATTGGTGTTAAAATTTATTTAAAAATATTTTACTACCTATAAAAATAAAAATAAAATAAAATCGTTATGCTATCTTTGAAAGGACCCATTATATTATCAATTTGGACCCACTTTTAAAACATTTTACATGTAAAATCCTCAAGATTGTCCGTTGATGATTGGGTATTGGCTATTGCAACCGTTTCCGATTTCTCACTAGAATGAAGCTACCCCCGTTAACCAATAAATCTGTGAGAAACGTGAATTGAGTCACAAAATCATAAGTTCCCAGTATTTGTACTGCATTAGGGTATTGCGCGCGTTGTTGCTTCCTTCGTTTTACCACCACGTACCATCAATCTATTCTTTATGAGAAAAAAAATATTGGGTTCAAATTAAAACTTAGGTGCTGCTTGCTTATTATAAAGCACTGATACTCAAAAGTACAGTCTCGAGAACAAAGTGGAACAAAAATTTTTTATGTGAGGGTCTAGATAAAATTTGATGTATGTAAAATAAGGATGGTAATAATGTATTAGTATTATTGTTGTTGTCGTTGGGGGTGGCAGCAGCTCTTGCCTAATGGAATATTCGCTAGTTATTTTTAACGTGTATTATTTATAAAACTTTCAGGCTAATGAAATTAGAAACTTCTCGAGGTTGGGAGGGCACCCCTCCGGCCTGATCTCCAACGAGCCAAGTCATGCTTTGTCGTACTATTATATAAGTTAGATCATAGAGATGGATGTACATAGTTTTTATTCGATTATCGAATTATTTTTTAAATTAATTTAATTTAAATTTAATATTATTAAAAATAATTATGATTAATTATTTATAAATAATAAAAATAAAATTTTAATTTTAATCAAATCAAATCAACTTTCTTACTATTAGCTTACATCTTTTAACGCAACAACATTGGACTATAATGCAAAGAAAAAAGAAAAAATATAAGTAAATACGAAACGTATTAAATTATGCTCTCTGATGATCATAAAATTCACAAATGGATTCATGTCTGTATTTATGTTAAAAAAAATCTATCTCGTCATTATATTATATTGCGAAGTTAGACGTTAATGATCGATGAGATATATTTTTTATTTTCAAATCAGTGGAAGAAATACTGTTTTTCCAGTGAATTAATTGGATCAGAAAATTCTAATTTCTTAATTTAATTCCACTAAAAGAAACTTCTACGATCTGCTCCATTAACTGATCATATATATAGATATCGGACCTCTCATGAGTCATGAGTCTATAATTTTTTAATCTCCGTAATTTTTAATAGAAACAAAACTTATTACGAAATTTGTTATAATACTGAGGATTTTGAAGTCTTCTGGCGAAATCATGAAACTACAATTTTAGACACAAATACAAGGATTTGTTTTTTTTTAAATAAAAACTCGAACGAGACTTTTTAACAAGGGAGTGCACTGATATAAGTTTGAGATAAGGAAAGAAAAAAATAAGGGTTTTTCTTTTCCTTATTACAAAAAGGATGGTTAAGTTAACATTGCTGGCTCTGCACTTGAATTTTAGATCTTATCAGAATTTATAGCTTTCAAATTTACCAATGCTAATATTCAAATATGGGAAGATATTCCTCGCCAGAAACCATCTAAGGCTCTACAAATTGTACGTACTTCATTACATATATGTTTGTTATCTATTTGGTATTCCCTCTATCCTAAAATATGATTACTTTTTCACTTTTCACATAATTTAAATGAGTCATTAACTGTTATGACACATGAGTATTTTTTATCTTTATTTTCTTAAAATACCGTTCTATCATTCCAAATTTGAGTTCTAATTTTTTTAAAAAACAATATGGAGATCATTAAACCCTCCTAAAATCAATGCACCAAATCAAGATATTCATGTCTCTCAAATTTAAGTTGAAAAACTTTTAGAAACATTTAAAGATCATTAAGGAATCATAAATTTTCATAAAATTTAAAGTAAAAAAATTCATTCAAAAAACAATATGCCAAATCAAGATTTTGTCCTTCCTAAATTTAAATTGGAAAATTTTAGAAAGATCTAGAGATCATTATGCCTCTCAAAAATTTTCATGAAATTTTCCAAGAAATTAGTCCCAAAATCAAAGCACCAAATCAAAATTTTTATCCGTCCCAAATTTAAGTTGATTTTTTAAAAAAAAATCTAAAAACCATTAAGGAATCCTAAAATTTCATGTAATAAAAAGTTTTCTTTTGAAATTTTTTATGCTAAAAATATTTGTATGTGTAAAAAAAAATTGTAAAAAATATTGATTTTCTAGTTAGTAAATACTATGAAATAGAAGAAAGAATTGATTAGGAGTATTTTAATAAATTATATTATTTAAAATTTTGATCAAATAATTATTTTAAAATATATATAAATAGAAAGGACGATAATTTCTTTGAAAAAGACAGAACATTTATTTTCTAGCTCGATGATTGAAACCATTTTTGAAAGGAATTAATGGGATATAATTAGCGTGTACTTGCGAACAACATGTGAGTTTGAATATTGACTGCCTAACATATATGTTTCAAATTTGAATTTGTAAATATCATAAATAAGAAACTTCACCGTCGCTTCCATTCATGCATATATGCTGTCTGATAAATGCACCGTCTTTGTCCTATCAGAGATTCCGTAAAGCCTGAAACATCATTTACTCCTGTGCACATGGCTCGCTGATTCCAAGAACCACAATATAAAATTTTGTTTTCTCAAAATTAAAGAGAAAAAAAATTAAAAAAAGTTAAGAACTCAGATACCACCCCAGGAGATGCATAGTTGAATGCTAAAAAACGTAAGTATAAAGCATGTAGCATAATTATTAGCACAGCCGAAATGACAATAGATTTGTTTTTTTTTTTTTTGTGGACCTAATGACAATACGTTTTCAGATCTAAAACATAAAGGCAACAGGATCGATCATCAGGCACAAAAAGTAATTATAACGTACCCCAAACATAAAACTGTGGATGCGATCAAAAAACCAAAACAACCTAGAGAAATGCACAAATATGAACAAAATGATTAAACAGTTGGGAGTCGGGAGTAATAGAGTAGAGTATCAAATTAGCTAGGAAAGAAACAACCTAAAAGACCCCAAATTACAAGTTCCAAAGCTAACAAAATTAAACTTGGATTTTCATGTCCAAAATTAACTGACAAAAATTAAATTAAGTGTTGCACAATTACACCACATACATGCAGCTAGCACACATACCGCTAAAATTAAAATAAATTAGCTACCTGATGATGAGTTAATCAAATCTCAAGGATGCATTAGATTTCATTACTGATCATGGTCTTGTTTTGCGTCATGGAGTTCTTGCAATGAGCAATTGCACCTTGAATGGCACTCTGCAATTCTTCCATTGATGATTCGTCTCCATAGTACATGCCGCCACCTGCAGCAGTCCTACTTCTTGTACCAGCTGAACCCATAAACCCGTTTTTACAAAGCACACCAGAGTGACTAGGAGATGACCGCATTGAAGACGGACAGCTAGAAACGCAGCTTCTCCTTCTTGGGTACCTCAAATTTCCTGAGAAAGAATGAGAAAATACTCCAGTGCTAGTAGTGCTTCCTTTTCTTGCATCCTTGCCAGGGACATCATCATAAATATCTTTCATAGATCTCTCTGATTTCATTGACAGAGTGACAGAAGTATTATTTATTGTTGATGTTGGCAATATTGAATGCTCGTGACCTCCCATTTTTTGCTGTTGTTTTTGGGATAGTTTCTCATACAATGGCTTCACTTTCTTGAAATACTTCCTTATGACTTCTTTCGCTGTAACGCTTATTCTTTTCACCGAAGAACCGGCTACGTTATCATTTTCACGGTTCTTGTTCTCTTTCTTGAAAACAGAAGAGAATCTTGATAAAGAGAAGTATTTATTGCTACCCTTCTTATTGATCTGTGAATTCAAATGAACATGGCTTTGAAAAAGAGGGTGGTTGCTATTAAGCCGCCTGAACTCATCATCTTCAGTAGCTGAACTAGGTCTTGACGAGTCACAATCTCCTAGCAAGACCAGATCACTAGTAAAAGATGAAGTAGAGTCATTGGAGCTGCCAGTGGAGTCACGGGAGGCTGTGGTGGTGGTGTCAGAGGAGGAAGAGGTGCTTGATGAAGCTAAGAGAAGAGTGCGGACCATGGAGATGCGTGGAGAGAGATGAAGGGGCAAGAGCTGGCCCTTGTAGAAGAGCTCATCAGCTGGACAAAGAGCTGTTGAGGATTTGCGTGGAGATAAAGAGATCGTGAACTCAAAGTCTGAGGAGGAAGAGGAAGAAAATGAATGAGAGGGTGATGGTGGTAGAGTTTGAGACGATCTTGTTGAAACACTCCCTCTTCTCTTCCCCATCTTTGTTGCCACAGCTACATGTTATTTGCATAACATGATGGTGATGGTTATTGTGATAAGAAAAAGAGACAGAAGGGAATAGGTTGTTAATTTGAGATTAAAAAAGAAAAAAAGAAAAAGAAGTTTGAAGGATAGAGGAGGTTATTAATTAGGTGGATGCTTTTATTTAAAAATTGAAAAACAATTCGAACCCGACCCTTTTAGGAAGTAGATGTAGTAGCATGCTAATCAGGCAGCTCTTATAATGAGTTCGTTGTCGACTATATTGATGGCTCAGAGGTTTAGTTTGACCTCGCACTCTGTGGTTGGGTGTGGAAAACAAGCGCCACTAGTCATGTCTGTGGTCTGTGGTCCATGCATGGTTTTAGTGTACTGTACGTTATTTTAGCTGGTTATGTAAGTCGATCCTGGATCTGGGTGACAGAGGAGAGGTCACATGGGAGTTTGTTACGTCTCTTTCTTTTCTACAATTCTACGTGGGTGATCAGCTAATAATGCGTTTGTGATGCAAGTGTTTTCATTACATGAAGTGAGGCATCACGTGTCTTAAACGTGAAAGGTGGTGTTGGATCATGGGTCAGCCAGGAGGTGTGTCTTAATTGCTGCACTAGTATTTTTTTTTCTTCTTCTTTTTAAACACGTATTTAACATTGGGACAGCATAGGCAAAGGCAAAATGCATGCTGTAATTAGTGTAATCAGTACTTGCTGACTCATATCATAACTGTACAGTTTCAATATTTAATTTTTTTACCTGCCAGGTACAGCTGTTTAAGTTTTATGGGCTATGGATTTGATGGTGATTACTGATCAAAATCATGGTTAGTTGCATTATTATATATTGGCTTTTGCGACAACAAAAGCTAGCTAAATTATGTAGGTTCTGTATAATTCAAACCCAGATCGGCTGTGCGGGTTGATTTGGAAGTCCGGTGGCATCTAACCTTAACTCGAGTTGAGTTTATTGTTGAATCAGATAAAGGGTTGATTCGGTTAAATCCAAACGGTTCAGTCAAAACTCGATCAATCTTGTCAAATTCGATCCAGATTTGGTCGGATCAAATGTTAAAAAAATATATGAACTGAAAAAAATAAAAAATTTACTTGCGGTGGAGATCGAACTCTGTTCATGCCAAGAACCAAAAAGCCTGACATACTGTCTTTATTGGTTTCGGTAATCTCAATTAAAATTACATCTTTAAATTATTATTTCTTTTGCAATTTTGGTTCTATTATTACATATTGTCTTTATTTTTGTTCGTACGTGGAAATATTAAATTCTTTTTCATATTTGTATTTTGTTGCTCTTGTATGTGCTTGTCGTCTAGAATTGAACTCCATACTTCTTTTTACTTTCAATTGGCATCAGAGACACTGTTAGTTATATACTGTTTGCAGCAAAGTAAACCATGGCATTTAAATTTAATTTTCCTTTATAATTGGTTGATCCAATAAAACCTTCCTTATCATATGATATGTTTTTTTTTCTTGCCAGTTTTTTAAGAAGGTTTTGAATAGATTTGTTAAGAAACCTTGCGTAGAGTTTTTAAACTCAATCATGATTTGAAGGTTGGACCCAAAAAGTTCACCCACTGATGCAAATAGATCTTTTTCCTTTGAAGTTGAGGTCAGATTTAATTATTATTTCATACAAAGTCTCTTTATCATTGATACATTCTTCATCTGTTGTTCATTAGTCTAATGTTTGATTAAATTTTAGATTTTCGTACTGCATAACCTTTCTCCTTTTTTCCTTAAATATTTCTCAAAAAGAAAAAAAAAATTAAAGTGCGATCTCACTTTAAGGCTTTATTTGTGAGCGGGAAGTAAACAAAGAACATCTCTATGATGACATCCCAATTCTTGCTTTAGTTACTTGGGAACAAACTGATACAAAGAAGCACAAAATTAACGAATTTAGTTTAACGAGATATATTCTGTTATATCAAATATTTTCCTTAAAAATATATACTAGCTTATTTATTGCAGTGATGTTTATGCACTGTATGCTATGGATGCCTGTCGTCAAATGGAATAAGCCGAAGGTGATTGAAAGCAACCCAACTTTTTCTTTCTTTCTTTTCTTTTCTTTTTAAATAAAGCTGGTGTATAGCTGAACAACGTATATAGTTGTAGTTTGGAACCAATGAGGGTGTTAACTTATCTAAAAATAAGAGATTTTCTTCTAAATTCGCATACTTTCAAGTCTGTAACATAACCAGAATCAAACCATTCTAATTTAATCCACTGCCACAATTTTATTAAGCGCGTCAATCGCCAAGGTTCTCTTTAAGTTCAGCGTTTGGGATTAATAACCTTTAGTCAAATTATTACTTTAATATTTAACGGTAAAATAGTAATCTTACTCATACTTTTCTTGAATTCTCAACAATGAACCAAATATAACAAAAACACATTGTTAGTAATTTTTATTTCAATCAAACATAAATATCACATTTTTAGCAATCACATTCCAGCAAGACATATAAGAATTCATATATCAAACGACTTCCAAAGGATTTGTAGTAAGCATTAAGCTACATCTCTATAATTATAATACTCTCTTTTAGATCTTTCTATATCTTTTTCTCCACATAGATGAAACCTTAAATGTGCATGGTACTCTAATATTCATGAAATCAAATTTTGGATTGCTTTCAACTCTAGATCTTTGGTAATAATTAATATATTTAAATGATCATAATTATGACATGTGTTGTCATACCCTACTTAAAAACCATCAAGAATTTGTCCCGAATATAATGATCTCGACCAACCATCGAGACTATTATGAAAGGACAAGGTCCAAAAAATTGATACGGATGGACAACTCGAATAAAAAAATATCTTTTATATTTAATTTATAGACAAAAAAGACATTTATTAACAAAGGCATGGTTTCTTGAACTACCGTTGTCTCATTAACACCAACTATGATGGCACATGTGATGTTAAAAAATGACGATCGATAACCCAAACCCTCAAATGGATGTCGAGACTCGTTGAACATATAAGAAAAGACCATCCTACCCCTTACCCCATGCAAGTGGATCATATCATCTCCTAAATAAAGACTAACGAACCAAAAATTACAAATTTTATCTTCTAAGTTCAAAACAACTATGTCATACATTATTACCTATCCACAAGAGCTAATCTTTTAATAGCTTATTCAACTAAACATCTCTCATTATATTACTAATTTAGCTTGAGTTCTCCACCTACCAAAAGAGAGCTTGTTTTGTAATTACTCGCCATTGAATCCATTAAATTGGAACCACCATACGATTAGCTTGAGTTGGAAGTCATCTCATCAACAATCATAATTTGAGGAACTCAATCTCATCAATGGCACCGTCACGTGAGAAACTAAGAAAAAATCAACCCCTTATTGTTTTATTCTTCCTAATCAAGCTTTCATCTCCGGCTAAAAATAAGATACTCTAGCTCACTTTATTCTTTTTTATTTTTCCAGTTGACGTTTTCGAACTACGGTGATACATTGATATCTTAAAAGAAGCATATCTAACAATACAAAAATAGATAAGATTTTTTAATACACCCATACTAACTACTCAAATGAAATAAGCAACCTTGCATGCACCACCTTTAGAGACCTTTGCACTATCCCACATATAGACCCATCTCGCTAAAACGAGACCAACTTGGCACTAAGACAAAGGAAAAACGACTAGGCGGAATGAGGAAAAAGATAAAAGAAGGGAACATCATTGTTTTCTAGAACAAAAAAAAGTCGAGTCTCACTTTTGTAGCAAAGAACCGATTAGCCAAAGCTCTTGAAGAGGTAAAGAGAGAGATAAAAAAATAAAGTATCAACATAGTATTAGGAATAGGTAAAGTAGGAAGCAACATATGAACAACCCTCATTCCTTCCAAACTTCACTTGGTGAGACTAAAACCTAAATTCCAATGGCGGACAAGAGACTCGTTGCCGGTTTAGACTACTATAGCCATAAAATCTAAGCCTTTCCAGTTGTCTAATGTATCTTAAACACCAAGATTCTAAAAGAGTTTGTCCTCGAAAAGATAAATCTAAATGTATATGATGGCACGATAGGCTCACATAAGCATGTATAAAATATTTGATAAAACCTTGAGTTAGTCATATGAAGTATAGTTACCATATACAAGGTACTTGCACCATCTTTTGAGGGTGGTGAAGTAGTTGTACAATAACTTGGACCTTGAGTCGATCTTTAATTTTGAAGATTTGTACTTTAAATTGGTAGCTCATTTATCCATTAACATCTCCACCAAAAGAAACTTTAGTGACTTTTTCATAGTCTCCTAATGAGAAGGAGAGAGTACCCAAACTTACCTCTCTTGTTTCTATGAATAAATGCCAAGAGTCAACATCCTATTAGAACTCGTATTAACTAAAGCCCTTGTATCGAGGTTCGATGATTTCAATTTATTTAAGAAGATTTATACTTTTTCTAATAAGAATCTTTATTCGCTAAAAAATGTGATGGAAATTTATATCGGGTAGAAGAGTCTAGAGCCATCCGACAAGGACATCCATGCTTTTAGAAACCAACGAGAGAAAGTGAAAAGGTAAAGATCTCCACATACTTGCTCTAGTCCATGAGAAACCCTATATGGCATGTCGATAGCCATATGATCTTTTTTGAACTCCAAACAACTCCCTTAAATGTCTCATAGATAAAGATATTCATCATGATATAAAGAAAAAGATACGTTAACTATTTGACTATAATTGATAGAAGCTCTTTGATCGGACTTGGTCCTAGACTCGGTCTTTGCTATTATTTAAGTTACCTCGTCTTAAGGAAAGTCCTATTCTTAAGGTTAGAGTAGTTAGAACGTGTTTTTGAATTCAAACTGAATAATCACATTGAATACGTGAAAGTAGTTGCAGCATCTATCTCCATTCCGTTTTGTACAATGTCGTTAAATAGCTCGATTTACAATTCAATAAGGCAAGCTTTAGTGCATCGGCATTTGTGTTCTTGAGCTTCA